TTATTTTTAGAGACCTTTTAAGTTTTCTTTGATTTAACCCGAGTGGGTGGACCCAACTCTATGTCTCAGCAAGTACATGTACTGGTTGGGTTTATAGGGTTGCCTTAGAACAAGGCATGTGCGCCTCCTAGCCTTCTCCTTGGTCATCTACTTCGCTTTCTTGTCATTGTCATCCCTGCAGTGAGCAGAACAAGAATCAGGGATGGCCAGGCTCAAACAGGTCAGAGGTAGTGTACAGGGCAGGGTACTCCTGGGCAATCTGGTTCCGTCACAGTGCAAAATGCTGGGGCTCAAGCCCAGTCACCTGCCAGGCTTGTTGCAGAGTGCAGGCCCAGGCCCCTGAGCTGTCTGCATCTGGAATTTGGGGTACCACTTGTCAACTGCCAAATGGGGTCCTTCACCGGGTGGAGGCTTCTGGCCTTATCTTTCTTTGTGCTTATTTTATATCATTCATTATTTCACTGGCTTATTTGCTCATTTCTTAGTGAAATGTCTTTTCCTGTTTTCTTTTTTGTTCTCTCTCTCGAAACAGAATCTCTCTAGGTAGCACAGGCTGGCCTTTTATCTTTTTTTTTTTTTTGGCAGTACTGGGACTTGAACTCAGGCCCTTGCATTTCCTAGGCAGTTGCTCTATCACTTGAGCCACACCCCCAGTCACTGGCCTTGAAATCATGGTTCTCCTGCCTTTGCCTCCTGAGTGTGGGAATTACAGGTATGCACCACCATGCCCAGCTTTCTTTTCCCATACAGTAAACCAATTTTTCTGAGTCTCTACCACCTATTACAGTCATCTAGGCATTTCGCTTAGCTTAGTGTGGGTTACTTTCTTTGGGTTTCCAGAAGCTACTGCATTAATTTGCAACTATCCTTGGGGGCCTTTGGCATAGTGTTAAATCTTGTATTCTGAGGTGGATGCCTCAGAATCACATAAATCACCTCCTTTTCCTCCCATTTTATGGCTGCTTTGAAAAAGCATCCTTAAAATCTAGTCTCACAGGCATGTCCTGGCTCCTGCCTGTGAATGCTGGCTGGCCCATGCAGCTCCTCATAGGGCTTTTCCCTTTCTCCCTTCCCTGTCTGGGTTGTGATGCTACTAAAGCCTTGTTACCACTTGGCTGGGGGACAGGGTGTGAGGTGGAGAGCAGGTACAGGCCTTATAAGTGCCCTCTAATGGGGGTTGTCTTCTAGGTGTACATGCCAAGAGGAAAGACACTGGCTTTAAAAAGGGAAGCCTGAACTCCGAGACCTCAGCAGCCTGAGAAGTTAAAGTCTTTGAAATCACCAAACCAGATGTCCCACCGCAGGTATCAGGGACTCAGGTTTCTCCAACCAGGGCTCTGACTTTGGGATGACAGATCTCACTTAAGCAGTCTTCAACTTTGAGTCTCACACCTCTATTTATTCCAGATTGTGGTCCTCACCCTTTTCTACTCTCCCACTTCAGGAGATAGAAGCCTCTCTAAAAACCTTGGCCTTCCATCTTAGTTACTTGTTCAGTGACCTCAGCCTTTTCATTTTCTGTCTGTTGATCACCAGTGCCAGTTAGTATCCATTAGCCAATTCTACTATCTTTGTATGAATTGACCACCAAAGCCTTTTTTCATATACCTGAATCACACTGGCTGAGAAATCACCTTCTATTACAATATTCTCTCACATTGTTATCATCAGCGAAAGTTTTACTAATTGGCATGCTGACTTGTGCCAATGACGGTCTGTACCCCATATATAGGGATGGGGTGGGGTCTGAAACCAGACAGAATAATGGGTTCTTTTTTCCGAAACAGGGTCTCACTGCAGCCTAGGCTGGCCTTGAACTCTTGATCCTCCAGCTTCAGCCTCCCAATTGCTAGGATTATATGCATGCAGTAGCATGTCTGGCCTAAGTAATGTTTATTTTCATGATTAATGAAGATGTTTAATATTGTTTCTTACAAAACTGTAGCTTTACTGTATAAAAATAGCACCAGCAAATGCAGTCAATTCTAAAATTAAGACAGCATTGTTCTTCATCTGATACTCAAGAAACACTTGCCTCCACTCCCAGTTATTTCCAATGGGAAGATCATAGTGTTACATACCTGTGTGAAATGTTGTGGGCCAATGTTGAGGGTTCTTGCTTTCACAGGCTGGAGAACTGGCTTTGAGGCAGCTGATTGACTTGTAAGACAAGGCCAGTACACAAAGTAGGATTTATTAGAGAGAAAGGAAAGGCTACGGCTAGAGCAGTGCAGTGGAGCCTGGAAACTGGTAGCCCCCTGTTCAGGTGAAAGCTGGGGCTTTTTATGGATGCTTTAACTCTGGCTTAGGGTAAGGGTTAGGGGAGTTCTTTCCATTGGCTGAGGATTTGCACATGCAGGTTCTCTTAGATGACCTGATCTGTTTGCCCCTTATTGGCGGGGGTGGGGACAACCTTGAGAGCATTCTGTTTATTAGCCCTGTGGGAGATTTATGAGACCCTGTATCTCCTCCTTAGGGTGCAGGGCCTATAATGCTCTCCGTGGGGGATGGGATACTGACTCACTTATCTGTCCTTTAGGTCCCCAGACCCAACAACAGGGATTTTTTTTTTTTTTTTCTGTATCAGAATTTTATTTTTTTTTCTCATTTTTCTTTTATTATTCATATGTGCATACAAGGCTTGGTTTATTTCTCCCCCCTGCCCCCACCCCCTCCCTTACCACCCCCTCCCGCTCCCCCCCTCAATACCCAGCAGAAACTATTTTGCCCTTATCTCTAATTTTGTTGTAGAGAGAGTATAAGCAATAATAGGAAGGAACAAGGGGTTTTGCTGGTTGAGATAAGGATAGCTATACAGGGCATTGACTCACATTGATTTCCTGTGCGTGGGTGTTACCTTCTAGGTTAATTCTTTTTAATCTAACCTTTTCTCTAGTTCCTGGTCCCCTTTTCCTATTGGCCTCAGTTGCTTTAAGGTATCTGCTTTAGTTTCTCTGCATTAAGGGCAACAAATGCTAGCTAGTTTTTTTTAGGTGTCTTACCTATCCTCACCCCTCCCTTGTGTGCTCTCGCTTTTATCATGTGCTCATAGTCCAATCCCCTTGCTGTGTTTGCCCTTGATCTAATGTCCACATATGAGGGAGAACATACGATTTTTGGTCTTTTGAGCCAGGCTAACCTCACTCAGAATGATGTTCTCCAATTCCATCCATTTACCAGCGAATGATAACATTTCGTTCTTCTTCATGGCTGCATAAAATTCCATTGTGTATAGATACCACATTTTCTTAATCCATTCGTCAGTGCTGGGGCATCTTGGCTGTTTCCATAACTTGGCTATTGTGAATAGGCGAGGATGCGGGGAAAAAGGAACCCTCTTACACTGTTGGTGGGAATGTAGACTAGTACAACCACTCTGGAAAAAAATTTGGAGGCTACTTAAAAAGCTGGACATCGATCTACCATTTGATCCAGCAATACCACTCTTGGGGATATACCCAAAAGACTGTTACTCCAGAGGCACCTGCACATCCATGTTTATTGCGGCACTATTAACAACAGGGATTTTGACACAAATCCAGAGATGGATATAAGCAAGTTACAATATCCTAGAACCTAGTCTAAAAATCCTTAAGGGAGCTGGCGGCTCACCCTTGGATTTTGTGCAAGTGCCTCATTCATTTTAGCTACTTCTCCTGCTAGAGAACACACTTTCACTGGCAGCTTTTGTATTCTCCAAAGCACCAAACACCCCCAAAATCCTAGCTATTTGGGAGGCAAAGATCAGGATGGTCATAGTTCAAAACCAGCCTGGGGAAATAGTTCATGAGATACTGTCTTGAAAAATACCCAACACAAAACAGGGCTGGTGGAGTGCCTGCCTAGCAAGCATGAGGCCCTGAGTTCAAATCTCAGTACCACTGGGGATGGGGTGGGGAATCCTTAAGGTATTGCAAAAAAAGATGCATATTTTGTTCATTAGCAATCTTTTAAGAAGCGAAGGTGCCAGGCGCCGGTGGCTCACGCCTATAATCCTAGCTACTCAGAAGGCAGAGATCAGGACTGCAGTTGGAAGCCAGCCCAGGCAAATAGTTTGAGAGACCTTATCTCAAAAATACCTAACACAAAAAGGCTCAAGGTGTAGGCCCTGAATTCAAGCCCCAGTACCAGTAGCGGTGCTGAGTACTTTCTTTCTCATCAGTGCTGCTAAATGTTATTTTATGTCTCCTCTCCACCACCAATTTCAGACAACTATGCTGGAGTAAGCTACTTCACACTACTTCATTTAGGGGTGCCATCTTCACTCCTTGATAGATTTCACGTATTTCTCACACACTTCTTCACTCATTAGTTCACCTACCTCTGAGGGGTTACTCAGTGTCATCTTTATCAGTCAATCATCTTTGTTAACAACTATGCCTGGTTGTTTTAATTCCTTACCTTGTGAAAGTAGTGCATGATAAAGAAAGAAATACAAAACAAAAAAAACAAAACAATAACAAAAAAAAAACCCAAGAAAAAATAACAGAGTAACAATCCAATCAGAAATAACCACAACTATTAACATCATGGATATACTTTTCTAATATTGTGTTCGACAAACAAATACATAAATACACAAAAGTATTCCAAAGAAGAGACATTCTTGGGACTGCCAGGAATGTTGTTAAAAAAAATGTCTACATTCAGCCAGGTATGGTGGTGCATGCTGGAATCCCAGCACTTGGGAGGCTGAGTGAGGCAGGAAGATTGGGAGTTTGAGGCCAGCCTGGGCTACCCAGTGAGATCTTGTCAAAAAAAAAAAAAAAAAGTCTATATTCACAGAAGCTGGGCCAAATATCATCCTTCAAAGACTTCGATTTTTAGATTCTTTTAGAGTATCCCAGTCACTTTATATTTGAAGCGACAGATTATTTGCTAGTGTTAGTTCAAGCTTAAAAAACAAACTGTCTAAGAATATTCCAAAAATGCAAAATACATTTCACTTGAAATTTGCTAGTTGAATGATATATCAAAGACAAAAACAAAAAAATGGCAAGATAAAATTCTGATTAGATCATGGTGAGATTCTTCTCAAGCTGCAGAACAGTTTCCTTGAAGGCAGAATTCTCTGCCCAGTTGGCTTTACTTCCCAAAATGAGGTTCTGTAATTAAAAAAAAAAAAAAGGTTTGGTTTTTTTTAAGGAAATAAGTATTTTTAAATTTTTTAAGTATTAAAAAAAATCCTTTCACTGATTTTTTGAATATTTTTATTGAATATTTACTAGGTATATAGTTCTGTGATTATAATAAGAAATAATAACTCCTTTTTTTTTAAAATGGTGGTGGGGATTGAACCCAGGGCCTTATGCTTACTAGGCACTAAGCAAGCTTGCTACCACTTGAATCATTACCATCAACTACCATTCTCTTTTTTGGCAGTACTGGCATTTGCTAGGCAGTTACTCTACCACTTGAGCCATACCTTCAGCCCTCCAAACCCATTCTTGTATTTTCATTCCCATCATCAGTAGAGCTTCAGCCTTAATCCTCATAATGGTAAGCTATATTTACAATAATCTTTTAATACCTCCCCAGTTTCCATGGATAGTGTTCATTTGTTAAGGATATGTGTAGTACTCACCTAGATTAGAGGGAAAAGACTATAATTGTAGTTCAGAGTTCACTTTGCACTTGTACAGTGAAAGATAATAATTTATCCATAAATAATATACCTTATTTTCAAAAGAGGTTAAGAAGAGCTTAAATCTTAGCCCTTGCAAAGTTTGAGAACCCTGAAAAAAGGTGAAGACTACTTTTATGGTAGCCAATGGAGGAATGATTAGTCATAATTAATAAAAATTTTGGTCATTATCCTTTGAAAAACAGTGGCTCAATGATACTGAATTACTGACTGGAATAATGTTAAAGCAGATTTTTAAGCTAGGTGTGGTGGCACATGAGGAGGCAGGAGGATTGTGAGTTCAAGGCCAGCCTGGTCTACAAAGTAAGTTGAAGGTTAGCTTGAGCTACCTAGTGAAACTCTTGTTTCAAAAAACCAAGGGCTAGGGCAGGGCAAAAAGTCTGTGAGACCCCCATCTTAATGAACAGCTGGGCACATTGGCAAATGCCTGTCATTCCAGCTACATAGGAGGCTGAGATTGGGAGGACTGTGGTTCTAGGATAGCCCAGGCACAAAGTTTATGAGACTCCATCTCAAGGGAAAAAGTTGGGCATCATGGTGCATGCCTACCATCTCAGCTACTACAAGAAGCATAAATAAGAAGACTGAGATCCCAGCAGGCCCTCTTAAAGAGTGACTTTATCTCAAAAGTAAACAGAGCAAAAAGGGCTGAAGGTGTGGTTCAAGTGGTACAGCACCTGCCTAACAAGCACAAAGACTGGTACCACTAAAAAAAAAAAACCAAGGGCTAGGGATATAGGTCAGTGGTAGAGCACTTGCCTAGCTACTTGCAAGGCCTTAGGTTTGATCCTCAGCACTAAAAAACAAAAAGCAGAAACAAATAGGCTTTTAAAGTATAATGTTACATTATTACTACAAAAATATTAAAGACTAGTCTATATGAGGTATATTCTTGCTATAAATGAATGAAGAGTTAGTGTACATCAAGACAGTTGAATTTACAAAGGCAGGTAGAAGTAAGCATTCAATCAGGACTGAACTCCTTAAGGACTGATCTTGGAAACAAAGAGAACTCAAACTGGCTAAAGCTGTGTTCTATTTAACAAGCAATGAGTTCATTAAGTCAAAATTAATATTGATTTATAGGATATGAATAAAATCAAGAAATGAAGACCAGTACAAATTTCAAAGCAACATGAAAGAAAATGTGCCAAGGAAAACTGAAATGAGTGAAATGATTCTTCACTTAAATTAGTCTCAGGGATTTGATCACTACCCAATCTAATCATTGCCACTGAAAAGCAGGTATAAGACCTGGGGAGCTATAAGACCTCAAGTTTCACAGCCAGCATTTCCCTTTTAATAGGCAGTGTTTAACTATGTATTTTATGTAATTGCAAACTGCTAATTTAAATATTTCACCTCAGCAGATCCAGACACATTTTACAACTCAACAATTATACCTGGCTGGTAGAGTGGCTCAAGTGTTTAAAGTGTCTGCCTAGCAAGTGTGAGACCCTGAGTTCAAACCCCATTACCACCAAGGGGACAAAAAAATTGCCTTCTTGAATAAAGGAATAAATAAAATTAAAAAAATGACATAGACAGGTCTTGGTGGTTAACGTGTAATCCTAGCTACTTGGGAGGCAGAGATCAGTAGAATCACTGAGACTAGCCCAAGCAAAGAAATCCAACTATGATACATTGTAAAATTTTTATAAATGTCACAATGTATCCCCAGTACAGTACAACAATAATTAAAGAGATAGAGAAAGCGAGAGAAAGAAAAAAAAAAAAGGGTGGTGGTGGTGGAGTGGCTCAAGTGGTAGAGCACCTACCTAGCAAGCATGAATTCAAACCCCAGTACCACCAAAACAAACAAAAAAACAAAAAAGAAAGTTCTTTACTCCCTATCTAATTTATATAAATGTTACCTGGAACACATGTTGAACAACTGTAGTAATTTGTATCTCTGTTTGTAACTTTTGTTGCATGGCCTTTATCTTGTCCGAATTCTCCATACTATCCAAATCCTCTTTCTGTTTGTTCTTTTCAGTCTGTATTTCTAAAAGCTTCCTTTCTGAAGCTTGTTTTAATTCTATTAGATTAAAAATAAAACAAAATACTATATATGACAACTGTATAAACATATATATAGTTACAAAGCAGAATACTTTAAGTTGAGAAAATTTATAATAAAGAGCATGTTAGATTGCAGTTTTAAAAATTACTTCTCTGGTGCAAAAGAACAGCATTTTAATTTTATACTCTGGAGGGGGTGGGGGCAGGGGGGAGAAATGAACCAAGCCTTGTATGCACATATGAATAATAAAAGAAAAAGGAAAAAAAAATTTTATACTCAGCGCTGTCCTTGTTGAAATGTTCAAAGTACTCATATATGACAGTGATGGCTATCATCAGCAACTGTTTTAAGTGGCCTCACGTAAAAGAGAAGAGAAATTACCAAAAGAATAGTCAGAGATACAAATAAATAGAAGAAAATTCTTTTTCCCTTTTAACTACAAAAATTATATATAAGGGTTGGAGGTGTGGCTCAAGAGGTAGAGTGCCTGTTCGGCAAGCGCATAAGCCTTGAGTTCAAACCCCAGCACTACCTAAAAAAAATTATCACTTAAAAATGATATATAGCTGGGTGCTGTTGGCTCATGCCCGTAATTCTAGTTACCCAGGAGGCAGAGATCAGGAGGATCAAGATTTGAAGTCATGGCAGGAAGGCAGGAAGGGGGAAGAGATTAATGAATGCTACAGTAAAACACAGGAAACCTGGAGTTGGGGAATTCTACCTGGAGACCAGAGAAGGGTCACCTCACCTCAGAGGTTAAAACAGTCAATGAAATAACATGCAATTATGTATGGGACAAGCTGTTACCCCTTTTTCCTCCCCATTTCTGTAACCTGCTCTAAACGGTATATAAGGAAAGCCTGCCAGATATGATAAAGTCCTTCTTCCTGTATGTACATGAGAGACTGGAAGCTATAGGAGTCTTGACCCAGCTGCTAGGTTCCTGGCACTTCCAGGTGGCCTATTTATCAAAGCAACTTGATGCTTTCCAGAGGCTGGCCACCCTGCCTGTGTGTCCTGGCAGCTACTGCCATCTTGGTGGCTCAAGCAGACAAACTACTCTGAGACAAAAACTCACAGTCCAAGTTCCTCACTTTGTTTCTCATGGAATATAAAGAAAATTATTAAAATTAGAGATAAGGGCAAAATAGTTTCTGCTGGGTATGGAGGGGATGGGAGGGAGAGGGAGGGGGAGGAGTGGGTGTTAAGGGAGGGGGTGGGGGCAGGGGGGAGAAATGACCCAAGCCTTGTATGCACATATGAATAATAAAACAATAAAAAAAAATTTAAAAAAAAAGAAAAGAAAATTATTGGTTAACAAACTCCCAAATGGTCAAATATCAAAGCACGTTATGTAGAAACCTCCATGTCCAGCTAGAGGTTAAGACTCTAAACCCTGCCACCCTATTATGGGTTAATTCAGGACCACCAGAGCATGATTGTTTAGAGATCACGGATGAGGTATTCTCCAGCTGGCCAGGCTTGACCAACCAGGCCATTAGTCATCCAGACGTTGAGTATTTCATGGATGGCAACAGCTTTGTCCAAAAGACACACGTTTTGCCGGATATGCAGTGGTAGACTCTGGACGCTGTCATTAAAAACACTACCACTGCCAGTCGGGACTTCTAACTCAGGGGGGAAAAAAAGTGTTAAATATGGATAAAAACATTCTAAAATTACTAAAAGCTGTATAGGCCCCTAAGCAAGTAGCACTGCCGAGGGCATCAGAAGGGGGAGACAACAGCTGTCTGGGGAAATTGAAAGGCTGATAGGAAAGCCAAGCAAACAGCCCTCACAGGAGGACAAACCTCAGCCTTACTGGCAGCTGCCTTGTTCCTGTGTCCCCTATCTGAACAGGACCCACGGTATACTTCACAAGAACAGGCTTGGTTTGAAACTGAAGAAAATTTTCTACTAGATGGATGGTGGAAGTTTACTGATGGCCGCATTGCCATACCTGAGTCACTGGCTCCCACATTTGTCAAGCAGTTCCATGAGGGAACTCACTCAGGGCAGACAGCTCTTGAGACCACCTTGGCCCAGCATTTTTATGTCCCCAAGCTCTCCAGTAAGACAGTATGTGAAAGGTGCATTATGTGTGTGCCAAAAACAATCACCAGTATTTGCTGTGTTTGTTTACACCGTCTCAGGATGGATAAAAGCCTTTCCCACTCAGACTGAAAAAGCCCCAAAACTGGGCTTTTTCATTCCTCGATTCAGAATACCTCTGTGTCTATTGGGTCAGACAATGGGCTGACCTTTGCGATTGAGGTGGTACAGTTAATGGCTAAAAGATTAAAAATAATTTAAAAGCTACACATGGCCAAAGTTCACCCCCAAAGTTCAGGAAAAATAAAACGTATAAACAGGACTCTAAAAATTACAATTAAAAAAACTATGCCAGGAGAGCCATCTACTACGGGATCAATTACTGCCCATAGCCTTGCTCAGGATTAGCAAACAGACAGGTCTCTCCCCTTTTGAAATGCTTTTTTGGCACCCACCCCTTTTAGTCAAGGGCCTGTGAGGGGACCTTAACAGGTGACCTTACCCTGATACAGGACCTTGATTTGACTCTCTCAAAAATCAATGACTAGATAAGCGAGAGACTCCCTGTTAGCCTGACAACTCCCACATACCCTTATAAACCAGGGGATGCTGTTTGGTAAAGAAATGGAATGTTCAGTCAGAAAGCCTCACTGGAGGGGCCCTTGTATTGTTGTTTTGTTCACCCCAAGAGAAGTTAAGGTAGCAGGGATTGTTCCCTGGATCTACCACAGCTGAGTAAAGCCAGCTTTCCTCAAATGGGAGTGCACTCTGACCCAGTCTCACCATACAAGATCACTTTCAAAACCCTAGCACCCTTCCCCAACAGGACCCTGCTTCTCAGGAGACAATAGGAAACCACAGACACCATCAGCCCTGCTCTAATCACTCCGGAAGCAAACCAGTCTAAGCACGGTGGAAGCTTGAGGAGTCGCTCATCTCACCTTTGAGAATAAGTCTGTTCTGTGTTTTCTTCTTGCTAATCTTGGTCAGCTTTCTACCTGGGAACCCCAGGCTTTGGAATGTGACTCATGTGTGCGCACTACCCAAGCAGGGAGTGCTGTTACCAAAACTCTGGTTTTCCTTACTTATTATTCTTGTGCAGGCACCATCGTTGGGTCATGCACCCACAGCCATACCATCTACTCAGTGTGCTTTCATCATGGTCAGTATATCTGTTTTAACCCCACCTATCACCTTTGAGAGCAATGGCTAGAAGTCCAAAGCTTCACCAGCAGCAGGAAGCTTGTTAACTGCATCCAGGTTAATGACCCCAACAAACCTGTGTCCGTATACTTTGATGTGTGTGCAGCAATAGCTAAAAACACCAGGCCTTAGGGCAACTATAGGGGGGTAGCCTGGGAAAGGACCTACAGGTTAAATGACAAGTATGTATGCCCAAAAGACAACAGAGGGCATCCAGGTGTGCATCCTATGAACAACTCTACTGCCTTTATTGGGGTTGTGAAAGGTGGGCAACTTGGCTAAAAGGGGAGGTCCATACCTCAACATGGAACTGCTGCTCTTTTACAAAAGAGGGAAGCAACCCCCGACTGCACTCTTGGTGCCTGTAACCCCATAAAATTCACTATTTTCAACCTCAATGAAACAGGCTGGGAAGTTGGGAAAAAGTCTGATCACGAAAAAAAAAAAAAACAGACCCCAGTACTTTGCTGCATTTTCAACTCATATGATCACTCAAGAGAGCTCCTCATACCAGGTCTTCCACTTCTTTTACGAGGAGATATAAAGTGAATTTCCCATCTCAGTTACAACCAAAAACCTGTTCCTTTCACTAGCTGAGTCCATAGCACAAATTCTGAATGTAATTTTGTGTTGTGTTTGTGGAGGAATGAATATGAGAGACCATTGGCCATGGGAGGCCAAAGAGCTAAACCCACAAGAGCCCTTTAATGAAACCAGTCCCCCAGCCATGGGGAGAGCAGTTGGCTCCTGAAAAACCTCTATCATTAGGAATTACTGTATCTCCCATCCAAAAGGCCAATTCTCCACCTCAGAAGGGGACTTGATCTGCTTGGGACAAAAGTTTTACGATGATGCTACTCAGAAGATTCAGTGGTGGGGGGCTCCCAATCACATGGAGCCCTAACCTCACCCGCTGGCAACAATAGCCTGAAATAATCTCAATCTGAGTAACTGATATTTACAGACTGATCATGAAGAAAAGGCAATTAAAGAGATTATCAACAAGATAAAAAGAGCTTGCCCATGTCTCTGTGCCAACCTGAAAGGGATAAAGTCCCAGTGACCTACTGGGGGTTAGTTCTCAACCCTAGGTGGGCTGAAGACCTAAATAGGGACAACATTCCTTGTGTTAAGAACATGCCTGATATTACCCTGCCTAATCCCCCAGTACTACAGTCTTTATTAACATGATGCTCTTTTACCCAGAAGTAGATCCAAACATCAAAGGGTGGAATATGGCAGGAAGGCACGGAAGGGGAAGAGAGATTGGGGGAATGTTACCTGGAGACCAGAGGAGGTTCACCTCACCCCATAAGTTAAAATAGCTAATAAAATAACATGTGATTATGTATGGGACAAGCTGTATACCCGTCCCCCCCACCCCATTTCTGTAACCTGCTCTAAATGGTGTATGAGGAAAGCACTCTTTGTTCTCAGGGCTCAGCCTTTGGCCATGAGTCCACTGAGTTGCTACCGGCTTGCTTAATAAAAAAAGCTTCCTGAAAGCTTTGGTGCCTTCTGTCTGTCTGAGCCCTCCTGCAACAAAGTCAACCCAGGCAAATAGTTCTGTGAGACCCTATCTTGAAAAAAACCCATCACAGAAAAAGCAGTTCAAGGTGTAGGCCCTGAGTTCTAACTTTAGTACTGAGAAAAAAAAATGATATATAAGATAAATATTAAATCAAAAGTAAGATCTTGATTAGGGACAAATACTGGCAATGATTTTTCATATTTCCAAAAATGTTCAGGGAAATAAACCACAAATTTGAAAATATAAATGGGTATGTCATAGGTTTTATTCTTTGACACTAACCTATTAAGAGCAGGTTGGAATGCCATGAAAAATAATGAAATATCAAAAACATTATCAGAATAGATAACCAAGGCTGATTGCAATGGTATATACCTATAATTCCAGGACTTGGGAGGCTGAGGAAGGAGGATCTTAAATTTGAGACCAGCCTGGACTACAGAGTGAGACCCTATCTCTCTTTCTTTCTTTTTTTTTTTTTTTGCTGTACTGGGGTTTGAAATCAGGATCTTGTACTTGTTAGGCAGTTTCTCTACCACTTACCACTTGAATCATGCCCCGAGCCCTAAGATTTTGTTTCAAAAAAGAAAAAAAAACAAAAAAAGACCAAGACTACCCTGACATTATTATTATTTGCTAACAGACAAATTTAAGTAATGTTTAAAAATAATAAACCAAGGTTGGCATGATCTGTAATCTCAACTACTTCGAAGGCAGCAGTATAAGGATCAACAGTTAGAGGCCAGTCTGGGCAAAGTTAGCAAAACCGTATCTCAAAACCAAAATATAGCTGGGCGCCAGTGGCTCACACCTGTAATCCTAGGTACTCAGGAGGCAGACATCAGGAGGTTTGAAGCCAACCCTGGAAATTAGTTTGCGAGATCAGATCTCGAAAAAAACCTGCCACATAAAAAAAGGGCTGGTGGAGGGAGGGGGCGGGAGGAAAGGGAGGGGGTGGGGGGCAGGGGGCAGAAATGACCCAAACATTGTATGCACATACGAATAAATTAAAAAAAAAAAAGGGCTGGTGGAGTGGCTCAAGGTGTCCGCCCTGAGCTCAAATCCCAGTACCACATAAATAAATAAATAAATAAATAAATATAAATAAATAAATAAATAAATAAGTTGGTGAGTCTGGTGGCTCACGCCTGTAATCCTAGCCATGCAGGAGGCAGAGATTAGGAGGATCTTGGTTGGAAGCCAGCCCAGGCAAATAGTTTGAGAGAGACTGGAGGTGTGGCTCAAGCAGTTGAGTACCTGCTTTGCAAATAGTTTGAGAGACCCTGTCTTGAAAAACCCTTCACAAAAATAGGACTGGGAAAGTGGTTCAAGGTGAAGACCCTCAGTTTGAGCCCCAGTACCACAAAAAAAAAAAAGAAAGAAAGAAAAAGAAAAACAGCCACCCATGTCTTGAGAAAATAAGCAAAAAGCCTGTAAAGCCATATGTACCAACTGATAATCTAGAAATTTATGCATTTAAATATATTTACATACGCATAAAGACAAGTTCAGAAAGATATATACCAAACTGATGTCACACAGGAAGGATATATGACTTCTATATTATAATTTTCATATCATTTGATTACATTACCCACTGAGAATTCCTTTTGTTGTTCTAAAACAACAACAAAAAAAGCAAAATGTATTACATCCTATTTTTTAATTGGCATGTTCAAAATTTTGAAAAATTAAATTTCTCAGTGACTGAGAGATCTGCTATTATTAATCTCCAAAACGGGTGAAAATGTGTTCGACCAAAAAAAAGGAAAAAGGAAGAGTATCCTACATACGCAATCTCTTCTTTCTAACATCAAGCAGCTTTTCCTCCAATTCCCAGGATTCCTGTCATTAAAATAAGAAGATAAAAGCATAATATTTAAGAATACATCTACAAGCTGGGTACAGTGGCTCACCCCTGTAATCCTAACTATTCAGGAGGCAGAGATCAGGAGGATTGTGGTTCAAAGCCAGCCCAGCCAAATAGTTCACAAGACCCTATCTCAAAAATCCCATCACAAAAATGGGGTTGGTGGAGTGGCTTAAGTGGGAGAGTGCCTGCCTAGCAAGTGTGAGGCCCTGAGTTCAAAGTCCAGTACTGTCCCCGACCAAAAAAGATTAAATCTACAATACTGCAATAACTGAGTTTCTTATGTTAGTTCATATTTTCTAAGTCTCTAATTTTCAAATCCTCTATTTCCCACAACAAAAATGAGAAGATAATAGCTTAAATTATAAGCAGATAATTTGCAAAATTAGTCAAAAGAATTAATTAAAAAAAAAAAAAAGAGAATTTAAGGAGAACCTTCTCATCATACTAGTCCTTCTTGACAATCTTATTTAATAATACACAACATAGTTACCAGCATAGTGGCTCAAGCGGTAAAAGTACCTGCCTAGCAAGTGTAAGGCCCTGAGTTCAAACCTCAGTGATGCAAAAAAAAAAAAAAAAAAAAAAAAGAAAAGAAAAAAAGTTGCCACTGAATCATGAGAATGCATACATAGCCCAATGTATAAGCTTACCTGCTGTGATGTCATTATCAATTTATTTAGCTTTAATATGTGTTTCATATCATCGGTGAGCACACTGAAAATAAAACAAAATTATGCTTTATTAACCTCAGTTAAAAATAAAAATTCTGGACTAGAGGTGTGGCTTGCTTTGCAAGTGTTGAAGCCCTAAATTCAAACCCAAGTCCTACCAAAAAATTTAATTAATTAATTAATTAAATAATCTAAGTCAGGCATGGTGGCATGCATCTGTAATTCCAGCACTCTGGAGGCAGAGGCAGGAGAATCAAAAGTTCGAGGCCAACAAGGCCTACACAGTGAGTTGGAATTCACCACAGACTACATAGCAAGAATCCTGTCTCAAAAAAAAAGAAAGATGAACTTAGGTACATTAAAATTTAACAAGTTTATATTTGAGCAGAGGCCTATTCACGAGTTGGGCAACACCAGATTGCGAGCAGTTCAGTGCTCAAATGTGGGAGGGGTGGTGGGGGGGTGGGGGTGGGCAAGAGGGCAGGACCGGAAACAACTTGTATAAGATGTTCGCTGAAGCAAGACAAAGAAAATATATTTTGTTGGGTAAAGTCGAAAGTCCCTCAAGGTTAGTTGGCAGTTTTAAGAGATTTGTTTCAGGGTTTACATTGGGCTTTGGTTTGCTTACATAAGAATTGAAGGTGCTGGAGACATCCAAATTAATGGTGTCCCAATTAAAAAATCTTTTTGTGTGTGGGACTGGTTTTTGAACTCAGAACTTTGTGCTTGCAAAGCAGGCATTCTACTGCTTGAGAAATGTCTCCAGTCCATTTTGCTCTGGTGATCTTAAGAATTATTTGCCTGTGTTGGCATCAAACTTCGATTCTCCCAATCTCAGTCTCTCAAGTAGCTGGGATTACAGAAGTGAGCCACTGGAGCCTGGCCCAATTAAAAAAAAAATTAACAGTTGCAAACTTTAAAGGATGCTAAAGACACTGTTTTGGCCTATTTGACCTTTCTGTTGTCTTTGGGTATCAACATGATAAATCCTGTCCTGCACCCCACTCCCTTCACTCAAGTATATCTTAAGCTCGCCTTTAAGGGGGAACATAAAAATTCAAAAAGCCCAAATTCAGGTTTTAAGATTTGTAAGATGACAGCAGGAATATTGGAGAATACATACCAGTCTGGACTAAGACACCCAGAGAGAAGTGGTAGGTCCATCTTGGAACTTGGTAGAAGATGCTTTTTACCACAAGATTTTTTACAGCTTTGGGAGTTATGACCATATAACTCTGCCTGAGGTCAGATTCCTAGGCCATGTATAGAGGACCCTGACTGCTAGAGTTTTTATTTCTTATTCCTTGGCAAGCTGTTTAATCAGAACAAGATCATTTATACTGATGGAAAATGAGTAGTACATTTATTGGATTAAATAACATTGTTCCTCCTTGATAGTTAACACAATAAAAGCTATTTTTCAAAAACCTTCCTTCAAGTATTTCAAATCATCTGGATAAAGCCTGCTTCTTATGGTTATAATCAATATTAAACAAGATGTCAACAGGACTACAAAAATTGCTGAAATTCTGGGGCGGACCTGCAAAAATTCTATCTTTTTTATTCCATAGAAAAAGGTGGTTTTGGCAGTGACAATTTTTTTAAAAATTTACTAACTAAAGTCAATATACAGATCTCCCTTATTATTCCCAAATCTAGGGAGTGAAGGAGGGCAGGAAATCATACCTACTCTTGGTGTCTGCTTTTTCCAGGTTTTGTCTAAGTGCAGCTGAAAGTTGCATCCTATGTGAAGGAAAAACTTTGCATTATACAACACAAGTAACATTTATGGCACAGTTAATTTTTTCCCAAATTTGACAAGGTAAAGATTGATTTTCTCTAAAGTATACATAAAAATATGAGTAGGCTTTTCTTTTAAACTCAAGTAGCTAATAAATGGATAATAATAAAAAGGCAATCAGGGGCTGGCGCTCAGTGGTAGAGTGCTTGCCTAGCATGCACAATACTCTGGGTTTGATCCTGAACACTGCCAGAAAAAAAGGCCTAATTCCAGCACTTGGGAAGTTGAGGCAGGAGAATTCTGAGCTGCAGTCCAGCCTGGGCTACATAGAAAGACCCTGCCTTGGGGGAGAGAGGATAAAGGAGATGGAGGGGGTGAATTCAACTATGATATATTGTAAGAACTTTTGTAAATGTCACAGTTTAACCCCACAACAGTAATATAATAATCAAAAGTCCTGCCTCAACAAACAATACGTGCATACATACGTATACATAGATGTGTATGTATTTCAACCTGATGACAATTATTTTGTTTGCTCTGTTTTATTTTTCACAGCGGCCTTAAACTCACAATCCTTCCGCCTTAGCCTCTGAGTGTTCGGATTATAAAAGTGTACCACCACACCAGGCTTTGATGAGAATTCTTTTATTGGGTTAATAGTTACTGAAATAAATCAATCCGTATAATACTGTCAAACACCAAATGGGTGATTAAAACACCACTATTGTCTTGAAGTTTCCTTATTAACTCTATCCTATGTAACTTCTTCAAAAGAATGTATTAATGAATAATGCAACTTTTCTCTCACAAGTTTTGCATGCACACCTGTAAAGTACTCCCAGCACTTTTAAGGCTGAGGTAGGAAGATAGTGAGTTTGAGACCAGCCTGAACTGCATAATGCTTATATGGTGCCAGTGGCTCACACCTGTAATCCTAGCTACTCAGGAGGCAGATATCAGGAGGATTGAAGTTCAAAGCTAGCCTGGACAAATATCTCAAAAATACCCAACACAAAAAAGGGTTGGTGGAGTGGCTCAAGTGGTAGAGAGCCTGCCTAGCAAAGCATGAGGTCCTGAATTCAAACCCCAGTACCACAAAAATAAATAAATAAAATGTAATAATTACCGGTGTAATGCAAGATTTTTCATTTCAGAAGAAACTTTTGCCTCTTCAATTTCATTTTCCAGGTCTTCAATTTTACTAAAGAAAAATGTGAACAAAAGAATTTAACAAAAGGTTTGAAAAAAGTAAAAGAACCATCTTTGAATACAGGCTTATCACATCAATTCCTATGTATAGATTTGCTTCCTGAGCTACATTGCTAATTACCTTGTAAAGGGAATGCTAGAGTGTACTAATGTAACCATCCACCTACTTGTAAGACTCCACTCCTAATCAACAACTTCCCAATACATGCGTGATGTATTTGAAAAAATAAAGGAAAAACAAAAAAGGCAGTGTTATAACATAGACAGTATGGTTAAATCTTAGTAAAAAACACAAAGAAAGTTTAAAAATATGACATACGCTTCAATGTGGTTTTCTTGCATGATTTGTTCTGGAGTTTTTTCTTCATCTACAAGTAAATAAGTTTTTGAAGTCAGTAATATTTTAGAACAGTGTCCAAAGGGTATATAAATCAGTCACAAATGCAAAAGATATAAACTTAAATGTCAGCATATTACAAAAGTGAAATAAACACAATTAATTTTACTATAGATATTTAGCTTAAAAGATCCCAAATATATTTCCACATGTAATCAATTTAAAACTAATGAAATATTTCCTATTTTTTCTGCTGTATGTATTCTATACTTATAACTCATTTCAATGAGGACTAACCACATGTTGGGTTTTAATAGTTATATGAAACTAGTGGTCTATTAGAATAATTTTGGAATGACAGCAAATAAAAGGGAGTAAAAACCCAGTAAGGGTCAGTGCCAGTAGTTCATGCCCTTAATCCTAGCTACTCAGGAAGCAAAGATCAGGAGGATTCAGGTTCAAAGCCTGCTGGGGCAAATAGTTTGTGAGACCCTATCTTGAAAAAAAAACCCTGACAAAATAGGGCCCGTGGGTGGCTCAAGGTGCAGGCCCTGAGTTTCAAACCCCAGTACTGCAAAAATCAAATAAACTGAAAAACCCACTAAGATATTTAATATAAAACACCAATTGTAGGTTTACATTATCAGCAATATGCAATTGGAAATTAAAATTTAAAAATTATCATAAGCAATAGCATTCAAACACATGAAATATTAAAGATAAATTTAACAAGGCATGTATATGATCTCTCAAGTGAACAGTACTAAGGACTGAAATGGATAGATATACCATTGACATGTATTAGGAGAATCAATGCTGGTAATGTAACACTTTCCCTCATATTGATGTACAGATCCCAATCAAACCCTTGTCAAAATTCTATAAGGTCTTTTTCTTTTCCTGTAGAAATTAACAAGCCAACTTAAAAGTGCATGTAGAAAATGAAAGGACCTAGAATAACCAAAACAATTTTGAAAAAAAACTAAGTTACAGGATTTATAGTAGCTGATATTAAGACTTACTGTAAGTTGGGCATGGTGGTCGGCACTGTGCCTGTCATCCCAGCACAAAAGAGGGAGGAAGTGAGGCAGGCTAAGATCAAGAGGTCTTAGGCCAGCCTGAATAAAAATATTTGTGACCCCATCTCTCAACAGCAAAAACCTGGGTGTCATGGCATGCATCTGTCAGTTCAGTCAGTGCAGAAAGCATAATAAAGTAGGACTGCAATCCAGGCCAGCCTGGGCAAAAAGAGAGACCCTGTTTCCAAAATAACCACAGCAAAAAGGGTAGGAATCATGGTTCAGGTGGTAGAGTATCTATCTACCAAGTATGAAGTTCAAACCCCAACACTGCCAACAACAGCAAAACAACCAGAGCAGTACTAGTATAAGGTCAAACACCTCAATGGAACAGAAGAAGAAGAGCCCAGAACTTTCTGTAATGGTGGAGATGTTTCATACCTACACTATCCATTAGGTAGCCACTAGTTTGAGCATTTTAAATTTTAGTTAATTTAAGAAAGCTACACGTGACTAGTAACACACCCTAGAAGACAAATCTATACAGAAATTATATTGTAGGTTGCTAGGTAAAGAGTGGGGTGGGCTGTGAAGCAGTACAAGGGACTCTTTTGGCATGATGGGAATGATATATGTCTCAAGTGTGGTCTGACAGATGTATAACCATCAGTGTAAAACTCATCAAACTGTACCTTCAAAATGGATGAAAAAGAAAAAAAAATCCTTTTGCCAATGTAATCTCAGTAAGGTTTTTTCTCTTTTTGGCTGTACTAGGGTTTGAACTCAGGGCCTCAAGCTTCCTAGGCAGGCACTTTATCACTTGAGCCACTCCACCAGTCCTATTTTTTGTTTTAAGGTGGATATTTGGAGATCAGATCTTGAGAACTTTTGCTGGGACTGGCTTTGAACCTCAATCCTCCTGATCTCTGTCTCCTGAGTAACTAGGGTTACAGGTGTGAGCCACCAGCACTCGGCAGGTTTTTTTTCCTTAAAAAATGGTAAATGAATCTATTTTAGACTGGAGGTTGTGGCTGAAGTGGTAGAGCACCTGCTCTGCAAGTGTGAAACTCTGAGTTGAAACCCCGATCTCACCGAACAAAAAAATAATAGTAATTCAACATTATGCTGGTGGAGCGGCTCAAATAGTAGAGCACTTGCTTAGCCAGCGTGAGGCCCTGAGTTCAAGCCCCAGCGCCACCAAAAAAAGTAACAGAATTTATACACAGGCTGGTGGAATGGCTCAACTGGTGGAGTGCCTCCCTAGCAAGCATGAGGCCCTGAGTTCAAAACCCCAGTATGGCAAAAATAAATAAATAAATAATAAAAGTAGTTTCTCCCCCTTATCTGGCCAACTCATCCATACTGCTTAATTGTCTTGCATGTTTCTTTACCTGTTTTGCTAGAAGAAAATGTACATCAACAAGTTTTTGCAAAATTGATTTTCTTTTCTCTAGAATACTGTTTATCACCAAACTTGTAAAACCTTATTTGAATATGAAACTACTTACTTGCATTTATCATTGACTTATATTCTAAGAGTTGTTGTTTTGTCTGTGCTCTTAGCCTGAAAACAGAGAGAGGATAGAAAGAAAGTAAATTTATGGGTTGAGGTTTTACTTGTTATCATAAAATAAACCAATTTATCTTTGTTGGAAGCTGATATAACCAAATGAGCAGGAGTAATGAAATTTGGCATTAAAGACTTTCAGTATGGCCTCATTATTTTTTTTTAAATGGACACAAAACTTTTAAGGCCATAGATGAAGACAAAAAAGTGAAATATGGAGGGACAAAGCATCTGAAAGGGAAAGCTACACTTATTAATTTTTTTTTTTTTGGCAGTACTTGTGTTTGAGCTCAAGGCCTCACACTTGCTAGGCAGGTACTCTACTGCTTGAGCCACACCTCCAGCTCTTTTTGCATGGGTTTTTTTGGAGATATGGTCTTGCTTTTTGCCTTAGCAGCCTGGACCACAATCCTCCTATTTTATTCTTCCCATAGGAGCTTGGATGACAGGTGTGCACCACACCTAGCTTTTTCTTTTGAGATGGGGGCTTCACAAACTTTTGCCCAGGCTGGTCTTGAATCCAGATCCTCTGTTGTCAGCCTTCTGAGTATCTAGGATAACAGGATTGAGCCACTAGCAAACTTCTTTTCTTCTTTTGTGGTACTAGGGAATCAAACCCAGGGCCTTCCACATACTAGGCAAGCACTCTACAACTGAGCTACACCTCCAACCCCTTAAACTTATTCTTAATCTTGTTAATGGGGTTTAACAAAACCTGATACACAAAGAAATACATAGACCAAAGTGACATAATTAAAAAACACTGTAATCAAGCCAGAAACCAGTGGCTCACACCTGTAATCCTAGCTACTTGGAAGGCTGAGATTCAGAGGATTGCGGTTGGAGGATAGTTTGGGCAAATAGTTCAGAAGACTCCATCTCCAACATAGCAAAATAAGTGGAGATGTGGCTCAAGTAGTAGAATGCCTGCTTTGCAAGCACAAAGCCTGAGTATAAACCCCAGTCCCACCCAAAATAATACCACTAACAACAAAAACCCACTGTAATCACTTTCACATACGCAGACCTTAACATTCTCAGGAGATACAGAAAAATACAAAAAATCCTAATCTACATTACAGAAGTTTCTTAGTTCTATTATTCTTAATCCAAAATCAAACATAAGTAGAAAAGCCATGGGTTAATGATAGTTACTAAGTTGAATTTACAAAATATATCACATTTGCATGATTCGAACAATTATGAAACTTTTTGCCTTTTGCCTTTGAAGACCTACTTAAGTACCTAAGAAACATTAGACAAATTTCTAAAACTCTATGGCAAATTCCTTGTTTTAAAATTCCAAATGAAAACAACAATTTCTTAGAGGTTAAATAGGCTAGCATTCTATGACACAATGAAAGAAGTTCCTTTTCTAGCTGAAATGGAAAGGGAGATATTACTTTTTACATTTTTAAGTACTTATTTTTTAATATTTAAGTATTATTATTATAGAAGGAAAGTTGTGTTCCAGTAAAACTTGACCTATGACACTAAAATTTGAATTTCATGTAATTTTCCCGTTTTGTGAAATATTCTTGCTCCCCCCACCCCAACTATTTGAACCCACAGAGACTATCGGTAACCGGGCTAACGCCTGCAATCCTAGCTACTCAAGAGACAGAGATTAGGAGAATCGCGGTTCGAATCCAGCCCAGGCAAATAGTTCACAGCATCCTATCTTGAAAAACCCCATCACAAAAAGGGCTCAAGGTGTAGGAACTGGAATTGAGTTCAAGCCCCAGTACCAAAAAAAGAAAGAAACTATAGTTAGGTCTGAGGATGTAACTCAGGGGTAGGGCTTAGCTGCTCCAGGTCCTGGGTTCGGTACCCTGCGCCGCAAAACACTCTATTCTTATTGAGAAGGTACACAAAAAACAGACAGTAAGGCAGATCTGCCCGCTGCTTTAGAGCACAAAGGCCCTCGCATCAGACCTCCCTAGCACTGCTTAGTGGAAAAGCACAATGAACATCGTCCTCCTAATACAACACATAACAAATGAAGGGTCTGGACTGGAGAGCCCTAATCCTAAAAGGTCGGGCGGGGCCCCTCCTTGCTAGACTAGGATGCGCCGTTTAGGGGACGATGCACTGAGGCTCGGGGCCTTTAAGTGACCGATCCTGAGTCCGAATCCCGGTCCTTCCGAGCAAGGGCGGTGCTCCGAGACGGATGCCCAAGGCTCGGGCCGCGGCGGGCGGAGGGAACCACCTGAGCAGTAGCTTAATGCGGTCCTCACTGCGTGCCTCCCGGGCGCCGGCGGCCTGTGGCAGCTCGCCCGCGCTGGCCGCCCCCCCAGAGTCCGCGGTCTCGCCGGTGGCCTCCTCCTCCCGCTGCTTCTCCATCGCGGGCTGGCGCGGAGAAACGACCACCGAAGGCAGACGGGCACTCCACAACGATCACTTTTCCCGCCACGAAATCAACTCCCGGAAGGAGCCCTCCACGCCCGCCCCTTCCGCCCCAGGGCCACTCCTCTTCCGCTCCAGGGCCACGCCTTTCCGCTCCAGGGCCACGCCTTTCCGCCCCCGTCTCCGGTTGCGGTGGCTTCTGCTCTGAGGCGCCTCTGCTCTCGGCTGGGAAAAACAGATCTGCATCACTCGGAACAAGTTCTAAGAAACGGGCGGGGGAAGCAGCTCAATAAGAACAAGAGCCTGGGGTGGATCCCCAGCCGCACAAAACATCGACGAATTTTAGCTTGTAATCTGAAGGGGAGTCATGCGGCTTCAGTGCTGGATCGCGGGACAATGGGACAGCTGTTATTTCCTTCGGTTCAGCGGCCGTGGAAGGTGGGTGTGCCCGGGGCCGGGGAAGACAAACATTGTGGGGTTGTGCAGAAGACTATTTACTCTTGTAGTGCTGGAGAATCGAACTCAGGGCCTCGCTCATGCTAGGCCAGAGCTCTACCACTGAGCCACAACCCTCATTCTTTTTTGATGGGAATCTACCTGTACCCCTTTGTTAGCGGAGAAACCAGTGGCTCAAGTTTAGGGCGATCCAGAATCAGTGCAGGCCTCTGAACTGCAGCCTGGCACCGTGGCAGCTTGCGCTGGTACTTGGTCCAGCTGTCCCTAAGATTCGCACCACTGAAGATAGGATGCCCCCAAGGGTCGGCTTTGTGACTCGACAGGAAGAGGGATTTAGGGTGCTGCACAAAATGCCTGGACATAACAATGCCTGATTCATTGTAAGGCCACTGTCTTTGTCACACAAGCAGAGTAACTTGGCTGTCTTTGCACAATTGGGCCGAGAATTCCTTCACAGCTAGTTTCTCCTCAGCTGATCACAGTGCTTTTCCTCTTTGTTATCATACAGCTCCTGTGAAAAGTTAAAATTCAAAAGGCAAAGTAGGATATAAAATAAAATAAGAACACTACATGGGATATTTTTGGCTTTTGATGTTGTTGGTACTGGGGCTTGAACTCAGGGCCTACACCATGAGCCATTTCACCAGCCCTTTTTTGCTTTTTTTTTTCATTTTTCTTTTATTATTCATATGTGCATACAAGGCTTGGTTCATTTCTCCCCCCTGCCCCCACCCCCTCCCGCTCCCCCCCCCCTCAATACCCAGCAGAAACTATTTTGCCCTTATCTCTAATTTTGTTGTAGAGAGAGTATAAGCAATAATAGGAAGGAACAAGGGGTTTTGCTGGTTGAGATAAGGATACACCAGCCCTTTTTTGTGAAGGGTTTTTTTGTGATAGGGTCTTGAACTATTTGCCCAGGCTGGCTTGGAACTGCAATCCTTCTGATCACTGCCTCCTGAGTAGCTAGGATTACAGGCATGAGCCACCTGTGTAGCTAATTTCCTTTTTATAAAGAAAAATCCCATTGTTCTTTTTTCATTTTAACCATGTGTTGTGGCTGCCTTCCAGTATTTCAACTCAATCTCATCACAGTAAACAGTTGTCTGTCAGGTGGATTTGGTACAAAAACAATTCAGTGATTCTCCAACCTAACAATGCATCAGAATTATAGGGAGGGCTGGGGGTATTTAATATTCTAATTTGCATTCCTAACAAGTTCCCAGGTAAAATTGCTACTGTCAGATTCAGAATGGCATTTTGAGAATCATGTGCATAATGGATCATGGCACTTAATAGTGAGCCAGGTGCCATATCTGGCTGGTATCTGTAATCCTAGCTACTCTGATCAGGAGGATTACTTGAAGCCAGCCTGGGCAAATAGTTCAAAAAAACCCTTCACAAACATAGGGATTGAGGAATGACTCAAGGTGTAAACCTTACTGCAAAAAAACCCCAAAACCCACACACTGAGTCCACAGTAAAACAAGAGTGGTTTTGAGTAGGGAACTAGTCTTTAGAAAGTCCAATAACATAAATGGGATGATAGAATTAGAGAACTACCAGCATGCCATTCAGTGAGATAAATGAACCAGGAAAGTATTAATAGATGCTAAAACTAAAAAGACTAGCACCTTTATAGCAATTGTGCCTGCTGGACCCTAACCAGATGACTGAGCTTGGTACCATCAGTAGCTCAACAATCTACATGAAGTTTGGTACAGGTTGTACACATCACCTATACTGTTGCCAAAATTGATAACCAGAACCTAACCATAAAACCATCAGACAAGAAGTCAGGAGGGACCTCCTACAAGACAACTGGCCCAGACATGTCTATGCCCTGAAAAACAAAAAGTAGGGCAGTTGTTCTTTGTGGAAAAATAAATGAACCTTGACAAAGATAAAGCCCCAAGATATTTTTTGGAACCACATGTTCTGTATATTATTTGTGATAAGATTGAGGTTTTTTCAGAAAAATTACTTTAGTTCTTAGAACACACACAGTAAATACTTTAAGGCAAAATTATCTTGACATCCAAACCACACTTTGAAATGGGCTTTGGAAAAAAAAAGATATGCCAGGCACCAGTGACCCACGCCTGTAATCCTAGCTACTTAGGAAGCAGATCAGGGTAGATGCAAAACTGAACTTAGCACTAATTAGATAGGACTTTAAATTTCACGTGGAAAAGTATGATAATGCCCCCAAATATTTGAGTAAGTTGCAAGCCACATCTAACCAGAAACTGGTAAAACTTAGAAGATTATCATATCGTCATAGGAAAAACAAATGGATCAGGATAGGCATCTAAGATGTCTCAAGTTAGAAGACTTTTAATCATGATAGAGGTGTAAATGAGTGTTCATCTGGAAGAATCCTACCTTATACAAAAAGTTACTTAAGGATAGGCTTACATGAGAAAAAGACAGGATTTTAGAAAATGTTCGTATTTGGGGGAATGGAGTCAAGAATGAGAATCTAGAAGCCTATAGAAAAAATAATTTGGTAATATGAAATCTTAAATTTTTGTATGGCAAAAGACAGTATAATACCAGTTCCTAGGAGACTGAGGCAGTAAGATCTCAGTTCAAGGTGAGCCTGAGCTACAAAGACAACAAACTATCAATGGACAAATAATTGGGAAAGCCTTTGACAGTGATGAGGCCAATTTATTCAACTTCACATTAAGTATAAATTAAAGCAAAAATGAGACAATTTTTTGCCAGTTGGATTCACAAAGATTCAAGACAGATCACCTCCAATTCTAACAATTAGCAGAGGGAAAAAAATGCACTTTTGTACCTTTTTGACACTGAGAAAGTCATCTGGTTCTGCTATCTGATCACGTAACATGTTTTCTCTGGGAAATTCAAGTAGATGAAATTAAGAAGAGGAGAGGTAAATTAAAAGAACTTGTTTTGAGCATCCTGCTTTATTTTCCCAACCAATGAGCAAAAACGAATACATAAAATGAAAAGAGGGTTTTTCGGTGAAAAAGTTTAAAGATACTAAAGGTGACAGCTCAAGAGGCGGTTCAAGTAAATAACTTACAAGTAGGGCAGGAAGCATCTGAAGAAACAGAAAACAGGGAACTAGGAACAAGGTGGTAGACTTTGCTTTAAAATAAACTAAGCAGAAAATTCTCCAAGATGACTTGGCTTACATGAAGTACATATATCTTCACCATATTAAAAGTAAAATTGAGGTACATAAAACAAGAACCAAGTATATAAACATAAAATCCACAATTATATACATTAGTTGGATCCCCTGGTAAACTGAAAGCAGTTATTTAAAAAATACTCCCTATCATCCTTTTAAGATAACTTTTAAGTTACCCTAGAATAGGAAGTAACCACATTCAAATGAGTTAAGTTATGAAAAGTAGAAGGGCCACAACCTTTATTAAAAATCAAGTAAACATATTATATTATGTACAGGTGGCACATGGTGCCAATTTTATTTGTAGATATAGTACTCCATCTCAAATTTACAAGTTACACCTTTGCCACAGCCTTAGCCAAATCTTGAACTAGTGCAGAATTCAGCTGTGGCAGAATGCTGATCTTAGCATGCTTCGATGTAGCATACTTGTTCTTGATAGTCTGGAATAGAAAAAGCACAGTAATTAAAGAACAAAAACAAAAACCATCACAAGATCAAAGAGTGTACTGGTCTTGGTGGTCCTTGCCTGTAATCCCAGCATTCAGGAGGATTGAGAGTTTGCAGCCAGCCTAGGCTATATAGTGAGTTCAAGACTAGGCTGGGCTATATAATGAGACTCTGTCTCAACAAAAAACAAAAACAAAAATAGGACTGGTGGAAGTGGTTCAAGTGATAGCATGCCTGACTAGCTAAGTTCAAGGTCCTGAGTTCAAACTCCAGTAACACCACAAAAACAAAACGAGACAAAAAAAGATCCAATGGCGTAGATACTCATTTAAAATATCAACTCTTGGGGCTGAGGACTCAGTGGTAAGGAAGTCCTGGGTTCAAGCACCAGCACCAAATCAAATAACAACCCCTCTCCCCCAACATCCAAACCAAGTAGAAGGATTGCTTAAGCCTAGGATTTCTGGGTCTGTGAGCAACACAGGAAGACCTTGTCTCAAAAAAAAAAAAAGACTCAAAAGCAAACCAAGAAAACCAACATCAACTCCTTATAAATAAGTATGCATTTGAAGACTGAGTGACTTTCAATTCTTTCAGCATCTTACAGTGTCCCTAATTTGACTCACCATGTGCTTCGTAAGCCCACTATTCACCATGACTACATTCTTAGCCAGGTGCTGCATAACAGGAAGAAGGGATTCCTCAGTGTACAACAGGTAATGCTGCAGAGTTGGTGTCTAAGAAAAACAACAACAAAATGGTGTTACAAATGCTCAGTGGTTTTCACAGACTTTCTAATTATTCAAAAATGAGGAGGGGGATAGTTACTGTATGACAAATTATAATTGATATATAGGATAACTTAAGATTTCTCTTCCCCTAGATACTCTATTGCTTCTATAGGAACCTGTATTCAAATCTAATTACATTATAGTAGTTGCTGGCTTGTCTAATCCAAGGTTGAACTCCCAGGTTGCTTGATGATGGCTTTTTTATTCATAGCTATACTCTCAGAGCTAGGGTAGTGCCTGGCACATAGGAGAAATGTTTGTTTAATTAATGAATAGGAACGAACTTCTAGTATGTTACCTTATACTTTCTGCATCTTTAAGGGGTAGTAACTGCTCTGCCTTTCTTAAAGGGGTATATAAAGATTAAGTTAGATAAAGAAATGAGTCCATTTTAAGATGACAGCCTCAGTGGATTACAAATTTAGCAACCTGTCAATTGTCTTTAATGACAGGTTCTATATTCATACGGCATTTACAGTTAAAAAAAAAAAAAAAAAAAAAAAAAAAAAAACCTGGCAGTTTTGTGGAAGACAGCTTACCCATTCGCCATTATCAAGAATTTTTAGTGCTAAGCAAAAAGCTCCCGCTGCAATTTGCGAAGGAGGAAAGTGTACCATATCATAGTCCAACATAGTTAGTTCCATCAGGTACTTGGCTAAAGTGTGCTGCTCAACGTCAACCTGGAACGAAACCCACATGTCACTGAGCTTTTCAGAGAATTTTACATTGGCAAGATCCTGAATGCCCCTCTCTGTAACTACAAATCTTTGCGAACTCTCCAATGCAATTTTGTATGGAAGGCCTATAATCACATTAATATGTAGCCTGATTGTACCAAACAAAGGTTTCTCAAGAAATCCGTACCTCGCCAATTTTAGATGCTCTACGAAGAAAGTGCAGGGGTAGAGGGCGTCCCAGACCAAAGTTTAAAACTCTTAAAATCTTCATTTCCATCTGTCTGATTTGGTGCTTAGTGTAAGTATTATTAGTCACAAAAGCAAAGTCACCAATTTCTGGAGGGTACATTTCTTCATATTTGCTTGCAATAAACATGGCAGTGACACCAACAAGCTGCAGCATCTTCTTGGGCACACAATTATTCTGCAATAGGAATTTCAACAAGGTGAATAATATGTACTTGAAAAGGAGACACAGCTGCAAAGGAGACATGAGAGAAATACTTCCACAGCAGAAATCTCAATCAATGGCACTTTATCTCCCAAGACAAATTTTAGTTGAAAAAGTCAGTTTCCTATGACTCAGCTATGACCCTGGAATGAATCAATTACTGAATCATGCTTACCTGCATGAACCGATCAATAATGGAAACAGTCATGTACATGGTCTCCTGTAACAACCTGAATTTCATTTGAACCTGTACTAGCCAGTCAATTAGGATGGCTCTCATGTTTCCAGTGACTTCCCGCCCCAGAAGGTATTTTGGTCTGACTGATTGCTCTTCCTGCAAAAGAAAATGTCAATTAGCATTAGAGTACCATGTGACTCCACGTGACATTTATGTCCAGAAATACCAGTTAGTTATCACAGAATAGCTCTGGGGCACTTAGAATTTATAAACTTTTAGTTCGCTATAAGCCGCTTCATCACTGAGGAATTAAGTAAACACAGTGTGACAGGTTTTTTATACTGTCAGATGATGATCAGTGTACCATGACTACTGCTGGCTCACACCACCTGCCCACTTTCCTCCCAAATAAAGATAACATCTCAGATTTTTTTCACTGAAGATGATAAAACCAGAACCTGAGCTTTGTGATAGAAAAAGTTGAAGAAAATCAAGAGTATGCTGCTTTTGGGCACAAATAACAATTTCCCCCGACTACCATGTGCACATCAGGCACAATGACACAAAATGTCTTTCAGCATCTTCTCCATCACTGTCTACTTCCTGCCCAGTTATTATTTTTAAGTCCAGGGAATTTGGGGATTACCCACTCCCAACTGTGATCTAGGTCCACATTCAATCTGTGGTCTTTCCTTTAGAACTTTGAACTTTCCTATTCAGAGTGGCAAGTAGACCTCATTGATTTATTTAGTCACATTTTAACTTTTTAGGGTTTCATAAAAGAGAATTTGAAGTACATTTTGCTAAGAAATGCTGCCCATGATGTGCTTGAATTTATTGTAAACTGCTGACAAGATACCTTTAATAAGCCAGGTGTGGGACAAGCACACCATAATCCCAGTACCTGGAAGGCTGGGCAGAAGTTCAAGGGCAGCCCTGGCTACACACATAGCAAGACCTACAACAAAACAAACATAAACCTGGATACTGAACCCAGGGCTAGGCAAGTAAACTTAAGCTGTGCCCCAGCCTTTTTTTTTTTTTTTGGTGGTACTGGGGTTTGAACTCAGGAGCCTCTCACTTGCTAGGCAGGTGCTCTGCTGCTTGAGTCATTCCCCCAGTCCTTTTTAGGATTAGGTATTTTTAAGATAGGGTCTTAAGAACTATTTGCCCAGGCTGGCTTCGAACTTCCATTCTCCTAGATAGCTAAGATTACAGGCAGGAGCCACTGGCACCTGGCTCCTTTTGTTCTTAAGATAGGATCTCACTCTACATTTTGCATGGGTTGGCTTCAAACTCAAGCTTATCAGGAAAGGAGTACACTTTCAATTGAAAGTGGATCATCCCCAGAGTGATTAATATCTTTAATAAAATTAGGTGCAGTTTAAAAAAAAGCAGACTAACAACAATACTGACCTCGAGTTGTCTCAGGTAAGCATAAATGTCTTTTACGTATTCACTACAAAGGTTTGGGTCAGCTCCATCTTCTGCATCTACATCATTCACTGCAAGAATTACATCAGAGAAAGCCTGACACAAGTATTCTTCTGCAGGGGCACATCCAGATGTTTCCATTGGGCTTGGAGAGGGAGTGTCAACCTTGAAAAAGAGAGATCTCTTGAAACAACAGCAAAGAGGACATGCTATATTTTGGGAATGAAAGTCAGATTACTAGTACCAACTCAACTATTTTGCTAAACACATGTGATTCGTTTCCTTAAAGGAAAGTTATTTTTCAGATTTCTTCAATTTCCTTTTAGGAAATAATAAAATAAGTAAAATGCCAATTTAGACTAAGCTAATTTAAAGTAGGCAGAACCTAAATCATAACAGGTAAAAAACAGAGACAAGTAACTTTTAGACTGCCCTCCCCAGGAAACTGGTAGTAATGAAGCCGTTTATCAGCATCATGTGAAGTTAATCCAAATGAATGACAAGTCTACTTCAAAACATTAATGTGTCTTACAAATTCTGTCATGACTGACTATTACCTTTAACTATTCACACTCCCTTTTCCCCTTATTCAGACATTTATTGAGCACCTTTTCCAAGTCAAACTCTATGCTAGGTACTGACTTCATGGTTTTGACTTTAGTACAGGCTAAGTAAACTAATGAGACTGGTTCTGGGAGCAGGGGTGGGGTGGGGGAAGTTAGAGAAAGCTTCAGGAGTTGATAATAGAGCTGTTTTGAGAAGGATGAAGACTATTGGCTAAATGAGATAGAGGGTGGGGAAGGCATTCTTAGTAAGTAGGAAAATAAAGGCAAGAATCAGTAAAGGACTTTTAATCCCAGCACTCAGGAGGATCAAGATTCAAGGCCAGTCTGGGCAAATGGTTCGAGAGACACTATCTTGAAAAAAACCAACACAAAAAGCGGCTGGTAGAGTGGCTTAAATGGTGGCAATCCTGAGGCCCTAAGTTCAAACCATCAAAGTAAATAAATAAAAGGATAGGGCTGGTGGAGTGATTCAGGTGGTAGGTGCCTGCCTAACAAGTGTGAGTCCCTGAGTTCAAACCAAAGTACCACATACAGACAACAAAAACAAGGGGTGGGGATGCAGACTGCCTAGTATGTGCAAGGTCCTTTGTAATCCCCAGCATAGGGGGAAAAAAGACTTCAGAATGCAGTTCATATTTAGTTTTACAAATCTGATAGTTAAGTTCTTAGTTTTCCTCTGAGGAAAACTACAACTCTAGTCAAAAGTTCTTGGTTTTGAGGGATCTTTTTACCTGACCTCTGAAGAGCTATATATTTTCTTTCTCCTTCACTCCTACATAGGTTTTTTTAGTGATCACATTAAGGAACAAAAGATTCAAGAAAACATTCTGTGTTCATTTAATAAATTCTGGACAGAGATGACTTGTACTTAGGAACCCCCCCCCAAAAAAAAAAAAAACAGGAAAAAAAATCCCTTCAAATCAGGCAACTACTTTTTTGGAGGCGGGGGTTTGAACTCAGGGCTTCCAGCTTGCAAAGCAGGCGTCCTACTGCTTGAGCCACAACACCAGTCCATCCAGCAGCTATTATTTAACATCACTTCCAAAAGTAATATAAGAAAGCAATTAAAAGCATAAATTCACTGAGCGTGGTGGTGCAGACCTGCAATCTCAACAAGATGGAGACTTCAAGGCCTGGCCAAAGAGACTATGTCTTAAGAAAACAAAACAAAAAAAGCATAAGTTCTCAAGACAGACAGTCAGGGCTTGAATTCCTTTTGTGTCCACAGTTTCTCTTAACCATTATCTGAAAAGTAGAGCCATCTCCAGGAAGAATATGTAAAGATTAGGTAGTTAATGCATGCAAAGGGCCTGTCTTATGCTAAGCACTATTACTCTATTTATTCAGAAGCCCTTCAAGCATCAGACTGAAATGAGGGAAAAGAAACACTCTTTAAATGCTAAGATTAAGTTTACCAAAATAGGTTCAGGAGAAAGTTTTTCTTCCTTAACAGATTCAGGTTCAGATTCAGAATCAGGTTCCGGCTCTGGTTCAGGCACACACACAGGGGCCTTTTCCACAGGTTTTGGTAGCTTTTTAGCCATAATTTTGCCAGCTATTGAAGTTTTTACTTCCTGCAGATGAAACAGAGAACAATGTTTCTCCACCCAGAGTCAGGGCTGGAAGGTGGGCTCTTCCCAGGAAGGCTGGTCAGGAAGGTGGTTACCTTTTTCAGAGACACTCTGGCCTGTAGCTGTTCGCTGTTTTTGTTTCCAATGTCTCCGAGAGCGGTTCTTGGTCTCAGTCCGGGTTTGGAGGCTGCAGCAGTGGCCACAGGCACACGCTTTGCGCCTGCCATGCTGACCTTGACCTTATTTTCAGCATTAATTTTCGTGTTCTGAAAGAAGCAAGACCAGTGAGAGCTGGTGTGAGCTCGAGTTAGTCAAGGGTTAATTGTGGGAGGGGAGGGGGCGCACAATTGAGGTTCTCGTATGGGAAGCGTGCAGCAAGTAGGGGTTCCAGGGTTTCCTCTACTCCCGTGACATGTCAGTTTCCTCCCAGAACCTCTACATTCACAAAGGGAGTTCCTCAAATCCCAGCAGCCCTAAAACACCGTGAGTTTACACTTGGAAGGAAGCCGAAGAGGCCTCCAACTGTAGACCTCTGGGAAGGTGATTATGCAGTCGGTGGGGGCTCATTCAGGGGCCGTCCATGGCTTTTTAAGCCGACCTTCCACCTCCCTCCACGACCTTTACCCGAGATGTGTCCAACTCTCTCTCCCCTTCCTCCGTCCGTCCCCCAGCCTCCCCCACCGTGCCGGGAGCCCCTTCGGCGCTCTCTGGGTGTCCCTCTCCTCCCTTATCGTCCCCATCGCTGCTGCGGCCCTCTCCCGCAGGCGAAACAGGGCGAGCAGGCCCGCAGCGGCTCACCCTGGTGACCCGGAGCGCCATGGCTTCCTCTTCCCTAGGCAGCAGCTCAGCGGGCAGAAGCAGAACACCAGTGCCCCGGACCCGCCACTGACTGACCCCGACACAGCTCAACAGCCGTTCTTCCGTAGCACGCCGGGAGGAACCGGTCCGGCTCAAGTTTAAACCCCGCGCCGCTCCCCCCTTATTGGCTCGTTCGTGGCACTCGCTTCCTTCCTATTGGTCCCTGCCTGTTCCCGCAGAATGCGTTTCCAGGGCGACCGCGCGGGGATGTTCGAAGAGGCGGGGCCAGAGCGAGGCTGCCGTCCCCACAGCACCGCCCTCCCCTCGTGGGGGCTGGCTCCGCGCCTGCGCACTCGGGCAGCCTGGCCTCAGGCTGTAGGCTGGGACTGGGAGGGTGTGTTGTCCGGGCTAGTCAAGGAAAGTGACAGTGAGGCTACCCCTGTTTTTGAAGCATACAAAGTAGTTTTTAGTCTACAGTAGTTGCTCTGATATAGTACTTTTTTTCATGTGATCATCGCAGCACCTCTCTGGGGCGGATATCTGAGGTTTTCGTTATTGGGATATATATTACATGTTAAAATGGTTATTATAGTGAAGCAGATTAACATTATTCCACGTATCTACTCTCCAGTGTAACAAGAACTCTCTACTTTATACTCAATTATGCTGTAAGCCTAAAACTACTCTAATAAATAAGTTTTTAAAAATCTACTTAACAAAAATCCCCAAAACAACACAGGTTTATTAACTTTAGTAAACATTAGCTTTTGTTTTCTCTTTCTTACACATGAATTTATTCTTAGTATTACTAAATGATCACCATACAAAACAGTATCGGTAAACAAATACTATGTGCCAGGACTTTATTTTTAGAGTATGGCATAATTGAACACAAAGTATAGTTTTACCTAACACAGTCACAGCCTCCCACCCTACCAACATAGCACAAGAAAGTGGTACATTTTTTTTACAATAATGAACATAAATTGATACATCATTATCTCCCAAAGTCCATAGTTTACATTAAAGTTTTTTTTTTTTTATTTAGGTTTTTGGTTTTTTTTTTAAGTTTTTTGAGGCAGAGTCTCACTCTTAGTCCCTCTGCATCCATCACTGGAGTGCTGAGATTTCAGGCATAAATTTCACTTTTGGCGTTGTATGTTCTATGGGTTTTGACATATCTACATTATACAGAATAGTTTCACTGACCCCCAAACCTGTGCTCCACCTTCTGTGTTCATTTTTCCTTTTAAACCCCCGGCAACCCAATGATCTTTTTAGTGTTTTCATTGCTTTGCCTTTTCCAGCATGTCATATAGTTGGAATCATGTACTGTATTGTCTTTTCAACCTGGCTTCCTCACTTAAATATTTATTTAAGTTTCCTCCATGTCTTTACATGGCTTGATAGTTAACTTACTTTTAGCACTGAGTAATATTCCATTGTCTGGATAGACACAGTTTATCCAGTCACCATCTGAAGGACATCTTGGTACTTCCCAGTTTGGACAACTATTAACATTTGTGTGCAGGTTTTTTTATGGACACAAGTTTTAAACCCATTTGGCTAAATACCAAGGAGAGTGCTGAATTAAGTCGTAAATATATATTTAGTTTTGTAAGAAACTGCTAAACTGTCTTCCAAAGTGCCTTTTTCATTTTTTATTCCCATCAGCATGAACAAGAGTACCTGGTGCACATCTTGTCAGCATTTGGTGTTGTCAGGTTTAATTTTTGTTTTTGATTTTAGTCATTAAGATAAATGTATAGTGGTAAGTCATTTTTGTTGTTCATTTGTTTTGTAGTGCTAGGCATGGAACCCAGGGCCTCTCAGCTACATCCCCAGCCCAAGTAACTCATTTTAATTTGCAGTCCTCTATTGACATAGAGGATTGAGAATCTTTTAATATGCTTATTTATTATCTGTGTATCTTTGGTGAGACATCTGTTCAGGTACTTAGCCCAATTTTTTTCTTCCTTTAGTTTTTTTTTTTGCTGTTGTTGTTGGTACTGGAATTTGAACTCAGGGCATATGAATTTGCTAGGCAGGCACTCTGCCACTTGAGCCACTCGAGCTACTCCACCAGCCCCCAGTTTTTTGAGATGGATTCTAGCTGTGTTGCCCAGGATGACCTTGATCCTTCTGCCTTAGCCTCCCAGGGAGCTGGAATTATAGATGGTACTTTTTTTGTCCCTTTTGTCCAATTTTCAACTTTTTTTCTTATTGAGTTTTGAGTTCTTTGTATAATTTGGGTAACAATCTTATCAAATGTTTTTTGCAACTGGTCAGTTGCTTCTTTTCTCATTCTCTTGATCAGTTTGGTTTTTTTTAAAGCAAAAATGGATCCTTCACTCCAGGAAAGATTAATCTTCTTAATGATTATGGTAAGCTTTCTGATGTTTATTTCTGTTCTGATTTGTCTTTTTCATATTTCTGTCCCCAAATTCAGGCCCGATACTTGAAATTATGAAACAATTAAGATGGCCTTTAACATCTTCGGGTTTTCTTGTGTTTTCTTTCTATTTCCAGTAAACTACAAATACTTACTCCATTTTATAAAAGAAGAGAAAATGAAAATAGTTTGGTTTCCTTAGCATTTTTTGAGGTTTAATTAACTGAAAATGTGTATAACAGTTCTTTTATTAAGCAAACACCAAGATACTTTTTTTTTTTTGGTGGCACTGGGTTTGAACTCAGGGCCTCATGCTTGCTACGAAGGCACACTTACCACTTGAGTCACTCCACCAGCCCTTTTTTGTGTTGGGTTTCTTCAAAATAAGTCTTGTGAATTGTTTGCCTGGAGCTGGCTTTGAACTTCCATCCTTCCTGATCTTTGCCTCCGGAGTAGGTAGAATTACAGGAGTCAGCCACTGGCGCCTGGCCCAAGATATTTTAAATTTAAAAAAAAAAAAAAAAAAAAAAAAGGAGTCAGGCACCCTTGGAAATCCAAGAATAAGCCAATGAAAGTCAAGGTGGGGAAAAGGCAATCTGTAGATTGGAATCTTTTTGCTGAACTCGCAGGACTTGCTCTTATCCAAACAAGATGCTGCTTAAGGCAGCACTGCAAACACTAGTTAAGTTGATGCTGACAACTGCTGTTGTCAGGTTACTGTTAACAAGTTTCGCAGCCACTGTCAGGTTCTATGTGTCAAGTGATTCTATATTAAAAGGAGATTGAATTCATTCTGATGAACAAAATAATGGCACCTGAAAGAAGTCAAAATGGTAGTGACGTGCTCAAAACTGATAACCTGCTTCCCCTTTCTGAGTTCATCCTATTTGTCTTGAGAGGAGGGAGGACGATGAACAGGGGCTGTAAAGACTTTGGTTTCTAGCCAGGATGCTGATGTCTCATGCCTGCAATCCTAGCTACTTGGGAGGCTGAGATGGGGACGACAGGTTCCAGGACAGTCTGGGCAAGTAGTACTTGAGACCCCCACCTCCAAAATAACCAGTAGTAGAGTGCCTACATTGAAAGCATGAAGCAGTTCAAACCCTAGTACCATCAAAATAAACAAACAGAAAACAAAACCTACATGTTTATTTTCCACTATGGCAGTCCTTGCTTAGTTAGGAACTATTGAGCTGCTGTTTTGTGCTCCAAGATATGGAGAAAAGACCATGAACTTTGCTCCTAAGATGTCAGACTTTTACCAGACCTAATTGGACTCCTTCCTGACCATTGCACAGTGGAACTTCTGTCTCCTCCTCTGCCTTTCTTTTCATTTTTGTTTTATTTTTGTGTTTTTCAGACAGGGTCTCACTACATAGCCCAGGCTGGCTTTGAACTGGAGATCCTCCTGCCACGGCTTCCGAAGTGCTGGGTTTGTAAGTGTGTGCCACCAAGACCAGCTGAACTTTTGATCAAGTGTTCTCAACTGGGGAACGTTTCATCTCATAAGGGTAATTTGGCAATGTTTGGAAACACTTTAAGTTAATATAACTGGGATGGTGCTGGCCTCTTTGGATAGACTAGAGATGCTGCTAGCCAGTATGCAGTGCACAACCTCCCCCCCACTGTCCACAGAGAACCATCCAGCCCCAAATGCCCATTGGCTGACAGTGCCAAGCTGGAGACGTTTTACTACTTACAGACTCATTTCTCCTCGGAATGGTACGTTTTAGTACCATGCTCAGTAAGCATACCCACCATGGACCACCTCCTCTTTTCATAACCCTGGGAGTGGTGCACTTCTGTAATCCTAGTCATCTTCCTCTCCCACCTGGACTTCCAAAAGCCTTTCCAACTGTCCCCGAGATCCTATTCTCACTCTTCTACACCAACCCTTTTGCACATTAGTTCATATCAGTTCCTTATTCAGAGTCACCCATAGGCTTCTGATGTGCCTAGTTTTGCCTTCACTGACCTCCCTCCTCCCCCACCCTCTCCTCTTCTGCCCACTGTTTTTACGTGGTGTTGATGAAATCCAGGGCCTTGAGAATGCTAGACAGGCCTCTCTCTACTGTTAAGCTACATCCCAGTACTTTTTCTTTTTTTAATTATGCCAAGAACCTCCTGCTGCTAATGTCCTTGCACTTGATGCCCTCTGTCTCCTCATGCCATCGGGCTCTGAAGCCTTGTGCCATTCTCCAGCACCCTGGCATCCCGACCCAGCATCCTGCTATACTGAATCTGTCCATTCTGAATCCAGAATGCCTGGTTTGGAAGCTTAGGGAGTTAGCTTGCCCACTTACTAGGTGTACGATTTGGACAAATTAATTGACCTTTTACAGTAAAATTGTACAGTTAATTGACCTCATCAGTAAAATGAGGCTAGTTACTTGTTGCTGAGAACAGTGTCCACCTGGCACATGGGACGGGTTCCATATTCACTGCTGGTCTTCACAGCATTTCTCATACCTGACATCTTGCTACGTATTAGTCTGTCCTCTCCACTAGAACGTAAGCTTCATCATGGTAATCTTTATTACTTTATCCCTGACTCCTAGTACATTGTCTGGTATAAAGGCCTTCCATAAATATTGCATAATACGCCAGATGCCGGTGGCTCCCCCTGTAATCCTAGCGACTCAGAAGGCAGAGATCAGGAGATCATGGTTCGTAGCCAGCCCAGGCCAATAGTTCCACAAGAC